AGTTTGAACACCCTTGACTTTTCACGTGGCACGTGCCACGACGGTCACTGAGATGTATCAAAAGTAGTCAATTACGGGGTAGAAGGGATGGGGCTACCCAGCAAAAAAGACCGCAGGCCAATCGGTCCAGCGGTTGCTGAGATATAAGCCTCTCAAAAGCGTTACAGGCCGGGCCGGGCCGGGCCGGGCCGGGCCGGGCTGGGCCGGGCCGGGCCGGGCCGCTCATACTGATATTTTTCCGTTATATTGAAAAGACTCGCTTCGCTCGCTGCGCTCGCTCGCTCGTAATCATTTAAATGGGCAGTAAAACTTATGTCGACTATCTTTTAAATAGTTTTTAATTGCAGTAATTGTTTTACTTTTTATTTATGGTTTAATTTCATCCAATATTTTTCCTATGGACATTATTCCCATGACACCACCGGTGAACTAACCAATGAGGATGTGTCCAGCTAATTGCCATATCGCTGTTACGAATGGTGTTTGCTGGCTTAGTTATATACCTAACTACCTAGGTGACAGAAATACAGCGCATGCATTCTGCTTTATTTTATGTGCTTATTTACCAGGCATTGTTTTTATTCGACTCTGCCAATTCATGACATTAACACACTTATGACGAGCGGAATAAATGTGCTGCCTTAGTCTCAGTCTGTCTCCTGAAAAGTCTCGGCTGTTTTTCGGTTGGAGCGGTCGAGCCACAGGGGCTACTCTGCTGCTGTTGAACGTGATCCTCCCTCCTCTCGCCTCCTCATCACGCCTTGACCCGACGGCTGCGTCCCACAGTCCATCATCGTCGGCACAAAGCGACGGACGTGCGGCTCTTAGCTCAGGCCTTCAGAGCTCCGGCCCGGCCAAGACTGGCCATTACATGCAGGCTGTTAGAGCGTGGTCCGACACCCAAAGACTCGCAGACTGTAGATACTGGTCGTATTTATAGAATATATACACCAGTCTGCTGTCTGACCTTCCACTTTCCAGTTAACAGGCTGCAGAGACGAGTTTTTGACAGACAGCCATGAGAGCTCATTGCTGGTGCCATACAATTATTTCCCTATCCAAAAGCGTGCTTTAGCTCCGATTGAAGTATGCCGTTTGAGTAGTTTTGCATAGGATCTTGTTGGACTTTTTCTCCAATTGATATTGTTTCATTGCTTTCTCGGTTCGCGTGACTGCTGACAAACAGCGCTGTGGAAGATGGAAATTTATCCGCGGGATATAGCTTGGCGCTGTGGGAAAGCGCTGCTTAACCCTCGCCCGTATTGGTGTTTTTCCAGCCGCGAACGTATAAGGGGGGGGGGGGGGTCCGTTGGACCCCCCTTGCCGTTTCGCCCCTGATCGAGCTATAGCTTCGCGGAAAAAACGAGCGTGTTGCCCGTGACGAGAGGAAGCCGATGATACCCAATTTTAAGGTCCTAGGTCATTGGTTGACCTTGCAGGTCAGGTCAATGACCCAAAAGTCGGGAAAATCGGGACCTGTTAGAACGTCGTAAAGTGTGGCTGCTACGGGGTTTTTCGGGGTGCTGCTCACGAATATCATGCTAGTTTTGATCACAGATGATGTCTTCATGCATTTAGGCCAGGTCGGGTCAGGTCAGATCAGGTCAACCAGTAAGGGTATTCGTGGTAGGTGGCAACCGCCTCTGACAGCTTCGTAACATGTTACGATGGCACCAAAACTACTTCATTAATGTTCATATGGTTGCTAAATTCGAATTCAGCTCCAAAAACTGGCATAGAAACATGTAAAACTCGAAAAAGTGAGCCGAGGTCATCAAAGGTCAATGACCTGACCTGACCTTCAGGTGACCTTGACATTCACCCTAATGCATGGGGGCAACATCATATCACATGTTTGAACGTTTGAAACCACGAAAAGCTTGCAAACGCGCGGCTAATGCGAGCCGACATACGCCGAATCGCGATTCCGGCCAAACATGGTCTCGAAAAGTAGGTCACAGGTCAAAGGTCATTTGGGTCAGGGTCATGAAATTTTCAGGGTAGGTGTAAAATTGATGAACGCGAGGGTAGTGAAAGTTTCGTCGCGATCGGCCGCTTTTTACGCGAGTTATTCGCGAAAAAACATGGGGGGGGGGTCCGTTCGACCCCTCCCCCCCCTATACGGGCGAGGGTTAATTGCCGATCCCTCTTGTGCCGGCCTTTCGTCGATGTTACCGGCCCGATCCGAGCCGGGAACTCCTCGATTAAACATCCCTGCCCCCTCCCCTGAGTTATGATCGCGGCCCGTACTCTCGCTATGGGGAGGATGATCGCTCCATCCTTGGATGAAAAATAGATCCCGGCCCGGCGCCGACCGCATTTTTATCGCACACAGCGGAGCAGTTGGTCGGCGTTCGAATGACAGGCCTTATCGGGTGCGCTTGGCATACGTAATGCGAGAATTGGATGAAAACAACTCTTTATGTCTTTGTGTGTGGGGATGAGTGCGGGGCTTTGATGCTAAAACTGTGGACTTTGGAAATCATTCCATTCTCAGGCTACGGTTATTGAGAACATTAATGTTTTTTGGAGTTTGGAGCTCACATCAGAAACGTGAGAGATCATATTATTTTCCATAGCTGAGTATTTTGCCAAAGCTTTATTGCGAGAGACCATTTTCATTTTATGGACCACACTCTGTTGATGGACCAGCTGTGATCTGATACAATAGGCCAGCGAAAGAAGGCTTTTGGGGCAGCACAATTCAATTTACTTGTTGTTGACGAAATATCCAGCGCCACTGTGTTCCTGCTCACAATGCCCTGACACGAGAAACTGTTTTTCCTCATTTCTCAGTTCAAAACTTAGCGGGCATAACTTAATGTCTTCCAAGTTTAAAAGAATGAAATCAAATAATGGCAAATGTGTTTTACCACGCAACGACAAGGCAGGCTGAGCGAACTTTTAACGAGACTACCAGAACCGAAAATAGAAAACTCCTTTACCAAGTCGCATAGAAGATGGATAGAAGCATTGTATTTCTCATTCATAAGCACTTATTTACTCGCACTTGCCATTTCAGAGTTATGAATAGCTGGCTTTCATTCGATAAGGCTAGGCTACCTACCTACTTGTTTTGTTTTGTTGGGCTAGGCTTTTTTCGGTCCAATGAGACCATTTCAGAGCCGGAAGGATGATTAGAATTGGGGGGGGGGAGACTTTGGTCTGGGCGGGCACCCTGGTGACTGGTGTGCAGGTGCCGAGCCCATGTCACAAGGACAGGCCACTCAGCACCCCTGAACAATAGTCCTTAGCCGGGTCAAGACATCCGGCTACGGGCCTGCACCTAGGGGATTCACCCGCATGCGATAAAGTCATCTGTCCTGTCCGGGACATTAGACAAGGGGTGGAGGCATGGAGGAGAAGGATTTGAATATCCTGAGGATGGAAACGACGGAACAGTGTGGGTTATCTACCCACTTGTGGGATTTTGTACCTTCTTCACACCCTCGCTCGCCCTCGCCATGGGAATAGCGTTGGCGCTCGCAGCCACCTCGCGGGGGCTGTCTCAACCAATGTTTCAGAACTCAACCGCCGGATGCAAAGACTGGACGCAAAGACTGCTCAGCTCAGCAGAGGTAAATGTTCAAACGCGATCGCAGATAAAAGACGCCGTCTATATTTGTATATACCTACCTATTTGCAAACAACAAAAAGTCATTTAGCAGCCGTTAGTCCTGTTGATTTTTTTTTTTTTAATCCGCTGTCGGTTGAAAATCTCTGAAATGAGTTTCATTTATGATCAATGAAAGGAACATACAAGCCCGGTCGTTTCTGCCACGCTGCTAACTTGAGTTACCATCCGAATTTCGATCCCTCAACTCTATCCTTAGAACGCACAAATGTTTCTCCACGCCTCAAAGGAGCCGATCTGGCCCAAGACGGTTACCTTCATCCGACGTGAAAAGCTCCTCAAGAGCAGGCCCATTGTGCGGTGAGGTGGCCGTCTGGGTGACTGTCCATCACGAAGGGCTCAGCCCAGGAAACACAGCAGGGTGTCCGCCCTGAGCAATGTATCCCCCTGATCCCTATCGCCCTTCCGTCTCTGAAAAGGTCTCGTTAGACCGAAAAGGCCTAACTCTACAGAGCAAAAACAAAAGACCAGACACCGTCTATATATATTTATATATCCTGCAGGCAAAAAGGTAGATGTCATGCATGGGACCGTCAGTCCCGTAACCCGTTGCAATTTTTAAACCCGCTGCTGGTTGAAAAAAGCTTATATGTTTCATTTATTATCTAGAATCGCAAAGCTGTTGCCAATCTTTTAATCCTGCCCTACGCATGGAGGCGAAAGGCTATGAAAGCATATAAGTGATTGCCTAAATAACCCATCTGCAGTTGACGGTTTGTGGCAGTGCCCTGCCTCTAATATTGTGAAGCATCAGCCATTTTTATTTGAACTGGCCTTTGACATTATCGGTGACAGCTAATCCATTGAAACGTTTTATATACACGAGCATGTGCTAGTACCGCCTCTTTAAAAAATGTCCGTTTTATAGATTAGGAGCCTGTGAGCTACATCGCAAGCCTCCTTCCCCAGGAAGCCGTATAATAAAAATGGCCTGCAACCCTGTTAATAAGCATAAAATCGACAATAATGATTTAGTTTTGTTTCTTTACTCGTGTATGTCACAGAGTATATCAAAATCATGACGTTTTCTGTCCCGAATTATTATCGACACTTATTGATAACGTTTTTTTGTGATGGTCTATCTCGCTGGGAGTGAGCACGCTATGATCAGAAACACGCAGACTTTCGAATAGATTGGTAAAACAAAGCAACTGAAGTACATGTATTGATCAACGGAAAAGTAGACATTCGTTGCTATGTTCCATTTGTTTATGAATTTATAAATGAGTAGTTAAACAGCACAAGTATTAGTACCTAGATGTTTTTTAGTAAGTCTGATCAACTTCTCGCCTGTGCGTGCGAACTTGCAGTGGATTCTGGGAGAGCAGGGGACATTGTGATGAATGTGTGATGGGTCGGTTCACAGCCCACTGCGCGTGGAGAGACCGCGCGGCGCGGCGCATCGCTGGGAGTCTGGAGAGAGCTCCTATAAGACGGCGACCAGCGGCGGCCAGCCAGCAGTTCGGCGATCACTTCCGGGTGGCGACTCAGGCGGAGTGGAGCTCATCCTTCAGAAATTGCCGCTGGGACACGGAGACGAGCAGTTTCGGCGCCCGAGCTGATACAGAGAGCAGAGCTGTGAGCAACGCCAAGCAGCTTCAAATCTGGAACGAAGAGCTGGTCTGTGGGTCGTCCGGAGCAGCTTCGAGCCTGACTCCGAGAGGTGTGCTCCTGCAGTGCGCCCGGCCGCGCCGGTGTGACAGGCTGACTGGCGAGTGACCGTTCTGCCGTCGCCCCACCCACATCCGCTCCATACCGGGGGCGGTGTCATCGAGCCTGAGAAACTGTGCAACAGAGGTAAGTCCAAGGCCGTACCGCAAATTAGATTGCTGGCCGACTAGGTCAATGATTGATGATGATATGTCATGCATTGTTTAACGTTAGGCACGTTTGAAGCACGTTTGTTGTTACTGTTAGTACCTATGCTTATAAATGTATGGTATTATAAAAAGACAATTAAATTCCAGCTCACTCCGTAACTCTACGTAACACTGCGTAACTCCGAAGACGATGCAAGCAAAAATATGTTTTCGCTCAATTCAATTTTGCATCGTTTTAATAATAATACATTGCGCACCAAACATTGGCCAGTATGCAATAAGAGCGGCCTGATTCATATGCTGCTCTCCATTGTAATTCATTGGCTGTTTCGCGTCTGAGTTTATTACAGTTTTAGTATGATCGATGGAAGTTCACAGACAATAGGAAAGCTTGAAGATGTGTTATACTGAGCCCCATTGGTCATTTCCAATGATAAATTGAGTGTCAATTTGAGTTTCAGTAATGACTAATAGACCCACGCGATTGCTATAGTTTATGACCGGGAGGAAAACTACGAGAACGCCACTTGAATGTGAAGCGTGCGCTACCCTTGGCAAAAATTCGGTCCCAATTTCGTAAGTTTTGTAACACCTGAAAAGTAAAGGCATATTCTTGTTATTTATCACTCCCGGTCAGCTAAAGAAAGCATGCCTCAATTTTGAAGTTGTATTTAAAAAAATGGTTTTGCGATCCATGCAATCACTTTTCCTTGTCTGAGTCTCTCAAGTTGTTCTAGGCATGTTGAGTTAAAACTTAAAGTGGCCCATTATTAGACCGCCTAAAATATAAATGTCACACTCGCTCAAATTTACCTATTAGCCATTTTCACGACGGGCTACCCGGCGAATGCACCTGATTTGACCAAATCTGCACCTAATTTCTTTTACAGCAAATATCTTCATTTTATGAATTCATTTCAGTGTTTTAATCGATGATGCTCTTTGATAATATGACAAAGCAGGCATATAAGCAATTAGTGCAACCCTAGCTGATAGCTGCTAAGAGACACACTGAACCTGATTTGACCAGATCTGCACCTAATCTGTACCACATGCGCACCAAATGTGTACCAGATGGCCGTCGTGAAAACGGCTTTTGTTAACCCGCGCGGGGCTGGGGTCTCCAGCCGAACGCGCGGGGCTGGGGGGGGGTAAATTTTACCCCCCCTGTTATCTCCCAAACTAATGGTCCGATTTGGAAAATTCAAACGCCAATCGAAAGCTCTCATCACGAACTACTAAAAACATGTACTTAATTTAAAGTTTGAGGTCAAGGTCAAGGTCAGGTCAAGGGTATAAATTGCAAGTTTCTACAGTATCGGCCTTGCACCGTAGTTGCCGAAGAATGGAGTCATGGACTGAGACTGATCGCCCAAAACGTGTTCTTAGGCTACCAAGACAATATTCGTTGCATACAATATCATTCAGAGGTCAAGGTCAAGGTCAGGTCAGGTCAGGTCAGGTCACCAAAAAACAAAATATAGAAAAGGGCATGTGCGACACATGTTTTATGGGTCATTTTACTCATAGAATTCAATAGGCACACTCAATAAGTGATATGGACCACCTCTGGATGAATTTCAGGTCGAGGTCAGGTCAAGGTCAGGTCAAGTGAGGTCAAATTTTGAAGTTGGTTGTTAAGGCCTAAAAAGGTGTCTATCTGATGCAGTTTTTCACGGCGAATCGAATGGTGCTATTTTTGTTTCCGTACGAGGTCTAGAACTTCCAAAAAAGTCATTTTTCAAAAATTTTGTGTGTCGTGACGTCATAAAATTTTGAATAACTCCCACATTTTTGAACCGATTCTTCTAAAATTTGGTATGTAGGTGCACATAGACAACTTCTCTGACATATATTCCGTTTTTTTCGATAGACTCAAAATTTTGGATTTTATAATGATTTTTCCAAAAAAGTCAGTTTTTTGAAAAAATTTAGGCCAAAATCCAAAATTTTCAAAAAACCGAGATAGCCATTTGATAGACAAAGTAAAATTACGTATAACCTTTTTTGTTACGTCTTGATTCCTTTAAAAATGAAGATGTTAGCGGCGTTTGAACTTTTGCCGTTTTTGAGGCGAAAATGGCGAACATGACGTCACTAAAACGTCAATTTCTCAAAAATTTTCCGACGGATTTCGCTCAAATTTTCAGGGAACGTGTCAAATTGATGTAAGAAAAGGTACTGAAAGTTTGGCGGCGCTGCGCGCCGCCGTTTTTGAGATATCGCAAAAATTCGCGAGGGGGGGTAAAATTTACCCCCCCCAGCCCCGCGCGGGTTAACATCTAAACAAAGAGCTTTTATGATGGACGCGTCTGGTGACGTTTACTCAGAGCATATTCGAGATAGCATCGTTCAAGTTATTTTAAAGGGACGTCTGCTTTTTAATGTAACACGGAGCATCTTCATATCTCAGTGACACAGTGAGCTCCTGTCGCCACTGACAGCGTCATTCTCGTGCGGTGGCGCTGCGCTCACTCTCGCTGGAGCCGGGAGAGCTCCCGTAATTCACACGGGATCGCACCGCACACACATACTTTCCATTTCCATGTTCTCGGTGGAGCGCTGCGCGGCTGACTTGCAGCGTGGAGTGAGCAGCGCGCGCCGGCAGTTATCCGTGAGATAATTGCCTCGGCGCTGTGCGGCGGCTCGCAGCTGCCTCCCACGTGTGGGCCGGCCGTGCCGCTAACGACCGGACAGTCCAGGTGACCAGCGAAACCCGCGGGGGGAGGGGTGGCCAATAGCCATCCCGCCGCCGGCGCCAGGTGGGGCAGTCCGTTGCTCGAGGGGCGGTGGGTGCGTGGAACCCGAGGGACGAGGCCACAGAGGTGTCGTCACTGAACGACATTGCATGGGACACCGTCGCGTCGGCCAGACCCCACCTAACCCACGGTGTTTGGGTAATAGATAATGAGGTCCGCTATGTGGACCTTGGCTTTGACAGTGGCTTATGGATCACGCTCTTTCAAATGACTGCTAATAATCTAAAGATTGGGCTGGAACCCACATAGCCACTTGTTCAGTGCCTTGTTCAATAGGCACAAGACCGATTTCCACCCATCTGACATCCATCTGCACGCTCATCCAGAAGACAATGTTCACGGTTTGTGCGGAGAAAGTCAGGGAGATGTGGTATGATGTGTGGCGGGATATACACCCGGCATGACGTGTGTGTAGTAATGTGGAACGTTATGAGCGCGTTTAACGTTATGACGGCATCATCCCGGGCAGCGATGCAGGGAGAAATGGTGTGACAGACTGCAGCTCCCGGCGCCCAGTTCAGCCCGAGCGGCTGTGAGGCTCAGTTTCTCGACTTTTAATACGACAGTCATTGCAGAGAATCGGTCATCGAATGTAAACGTTATCGCTTGCCTATCAGGGCTTAGTATCAACGTAACTCAATTGCCTCTCGAAAGGGCTCGGATATGTTTTCAAGTGTCTTTTGAACGCTGAACCACCTTCCAATCGCGCATTGTTACCTCACTAACACGCAAGTTAAGTAGGGGAGAGCGGGGAGAGTTGTATCATGTCCAAGTTGTATCAGGGCGAATTGTGCGAAACTTATCCAATTGATGGCGCTCGTGACATGACCAGCCGACGAGGTTTTCCGGGCGCCATCTTTCCCTGTTCTGTCGTGTGGCTGGGTGGACGCGTCTCGAGGTGAGAGCCGATTTTATGTTTTTTTAATGTCATTCTAAAAAAATAAGTTGCAAGAAAATGTGTGTTTTGGACATTTAGATGTGCACGAATTTGAAAGATCTCCGTAGCGGTGGTGAGGGTAGGTTCTAAGGCTGCGTGAGTGAAAATGGATTTCTCCAGCTGTCCGCTGTTTTTGAGTACGAGGATGTTTTTCCAAGATGGCGGCGAGGTACATGTTGTATCAGAGCCGGGTGGGGTATGTTGTAACATGTATGTATGTATGTATGGGTATGTTGCTTTTGATCGCGAAAGCTAAGCCCTGGCTCGCGTTTGTAGGTAGCTAGTCAATACTCGTTCCATTTTGGCACAATGTGTTGGCTTCCTTGCTCTTAACGGGCCACTTTTGCGTCTAGTCTGTTGATGTTTCGTTCGTTTCGATGTTTCGTTCGGATTGCATTGACCTCAGGGGCCCGGGAACGATTTTCAAGTTGGGGGGGCGAGCCTAAAATACCTGACATGATGCATATGAAACAGTGGCGTTGCTAGGGGTCTAAGGGGACACGTACCCCCCCCCCCCCCATCGGGATAAAGGGGACCCTCGGGTCCGAGGGGCCCTGCGGCGCCATTTGACCGCTGAGGGTTAACGATGGCCATATTTCTACTCAGAAGGGCCCCATGGGGCTCGTCAGAGCACCTCATGGGCCCTAAATAGCCACACTAAGATCTCCATAAGGGTCCGACGCCGGCGTCTGAGGGCCTCTTGCGGCTTTTAAGGACACCTTGGTGATCTCCAAAGGCCCGTTACTGGCCTCTGAGAGGTCTTACCGGCCTATGAGGTGCCAGTTCTAGGGGCATCTCCCGCCTATGATGGTCCCACACTTAATTTTCTGAGGGCCCCATAAGGGCAACTGTGGGGCCCTCGTCGGCGCCTATGAGGGCCTGTCTCTAAGGACCCCACAGGACTTCTTCTGCCGGCGTAAGGTCCCCTTGCCGGTCACTGAGACTCCCTGCCGGCTTGTAGAGAGTTCGCGTCAGCAGCACTAAAGGCCCCACACCCGTCTGTAACGGCCCCACACCAGCGTCTATGAGGATCCACAGCAACGCCTGTAACTTGTAAGGACCCTCATCGGCGCCTCTGAGAGAATCACACTAGCACCTCTGAGCGCCCACACCGGCACCTGCATGGCGGCCCCACACCAGTGCCTCTAAAGGCCCCTTACCGGCGGCTCTGAGGCAGGCGCGGATACAAGGGGGGGGGCCATGGGGGCCATGGCCCCCCCCCCTTGGCCGATTTTTTTCAAAAATAAAATAAAAAGTTAACCCTCGCATGTGTGCGGCGTTTGCCAGCTTCTAATGTGTAGGGGGGGGGGGGTCGGTTGGACCCCCCCTTGCCGTTTGGCCCCTGATCGAGCTAGAGCTTCGCGGAAAAAACGAGCGTGTTGCCCGTGACGAGAGGAAGCCGATGATACCTAATTTTAAGGTCCTAGGTCATTGGTTGACCTTCCAGGTCAGGTCAATGACCCAAAGTCGGGAAAATCGGGACCTGTTAGAAAGTCGTGAAGTGTGGCTGCTAAGGGGTTTTTCGGGGTGCTGATCACGAATATCGTGTTAGTTTTGATCACAGATGATGTCTTGAAGCATTTAGACCAGGTCGGGTCAGGTCAGGTCAGGTCAACCAGTAGGCGTCGTGACGGGTATTCGTAGTACGTGTCAACCGCCTCTGACAGCTTCGTAACATGTTACGAAGTCACCAAAACTACTTCGTAAATGTTCAAATGGTTGCTAAATTCGAATTCAGCTCCAAAAACTAGCCTAGAAACATACATAAAACTCGAAAAAGTGACCCGAGGTCACCCGAGGTCACCAAAGGTCAATGACCTGACCTGACCTTCAGGTGACCTTGACACACACGGGAGTAACATCAAATCACATGTTTGAACGTCTGAAACCACGAAAAGCTTGCAAACACGCGGCTAGTGCGAGCCGACATACGCGAAATCGCGATTCCGGCCAAACGTGGTCTCGGAAAAGAGGTCACAGGTCAAAGGTCATTTGGGTCAGGGTCATGAAATTTTCAGGGTAGGTGTAAAATTGATCAATGCGAGGCTACTGAAAGTTTCGTCGCGATCGGCCGCTTTTTACGCGAGTTATTCGCGAAAAACCATGGGGGGGGGGGGTCCATCCGACCCCCCCTACACATGCGAGGGTTAAAAAGTTAAAAAGCTGAAAAGGGGGCCTCCTGAAAATAAAGTGGCCGAAATCCGATGAGTTTTTTTTTAACCTACCCACTTAGTTATTTCTTAGAAGACTAGCTGAGAAGACTTCTTTGTTAGAAGATTGGTAAAGCTTTTCATAACTTGGAGGTCTCTTATACTCACAGAGATGACCACTTTTACAGGGCCTCCTAACCTGCACAGAGGGCCTCCAAGCCTGCACAGATGTTGAGATGTTGCCTGAACAGCTAGATAAGCTCAATAGACGCAGTTTTTTTTGGGGGGGCCAACAAGTGGGAAGATGGGGCCTCCAACAGGTGGGATTAGGGGGGGGGCCTCCTGGTTTCTAATGGCCCCTCCCTTGGAGATTTTCTGGATCCGCCCCTGCTCTGAGGGCCCTACGCCGGTGATTCTGAGGGTGCTACCGATAACCGAAGGCACCACACAACACAAGCCCTTAGTGTCGCTGAGCTTTAATCCCATACCGGCCCTCCGAGGGCGCCACGTCAGTGCACCCATTGCCCCACACCCCTCCATCACATCCGGAGCGGGTAAACTGTGTTATACCTACATATAATAGCAACGATTTTACCACCGTTGTACGTTATGTAGGTATTTCCTATTTCTCAAAGTTGACTCAAGCTGGTGCAGTATAAAATCTGGCCTGCCAAACTTATGGTCACGATCAGGCCCAAATCAAAGCGGGATGACAATAGTCAATAGCAGATGTTGTCAAATCGATACCTACTGTATCAGCAGAAACCATTCAGATGGCAAGGAAAATGCCATGTGTTGATGCGTAGATGTATGAAGGAAACAAGAAGGAAAAAGGTCCGGAAAAGGGAGGAAAGATCTTTTCTCGCTGCCTCAATGTTGAGGGGGCGCCGCCCCCTCGGCTCTCAAGTTGGGGGGGCAAGCGCCCCCGCTGCCCCCCCCCCCTGTTCCCGGGTCTATGATTGACCTAAGCTTGGTCTAATAAAAGTGAAGCCTTTGAGCATATACATTGTATCAACCCCATTTAATGTTGTTGTTATGCTCAAAACCAGTAGCAAGCACACTCCCTGAAACGTGAAATACCTAGTGATACAGATTACCCCACCATGTGATACAACTCACCCAAGCCATGGGGCAAGTTGTATCAAAAACATTGTTCTTTTCGGCAGACCGTAGAAGAAAAACTGGTAGAGGTAGCGGAAAAGTTACTTTGCACAAAAAAGCAGAAGAATCAAGGAAGGAGATAGTATGGAAATAATGAGTTTATCACGGATAGTTACGAGGTTATGGGTCTCGGAGTAAAAACTGATACAACCCACCCCACTCTCCCCTAACTAGGACAGCAGCGAACTTGCTGCCGACAACTTTTCGCCCCCGCCCCGATGATTGCCAATCCCGTCTGTATTTTGTTTCAGATGCTGCGGCACGACACGATGCTGGTCGTGATGGCCGCGATGGTCTCCGTACCGCTCACCGCTGCCCAACGACAGGGCTATGGACCACCGCGACCACCAAACACTAGTGTGAGATACGTCAATACTCCGCCACTTCAGCCGGGGCGCGGGGCCCCTGCCAGGCCCCAGCAAAACTACGGAACTCCAGATAACGCACAACAGAGTTACCGGGCTCCAACGAATCCACAACAGGGTTACGGAGCTCCAGATAATCCACAGCAAAGTTATGGAGCTCCAGCAGCTCCAGCAAACCCTGCGGCCAATAACGGAGCACCTGCAAAACCCGCCCCCAGTTATAATGCTCCCGCTAATCCTCAACAAAATTACGGAGCTCCGGATAATCGTCAACAAAATAATGAAGCACCTGTGAACCCTGAGCCAAGTTATGGAGCTCCAGCTAATCCTCAGCAAAACTATGGATCTCCTGCAAACTCTGCGCCCAGTAATGGATCTCCTGCCAATCCTCAGCAAGATTACGGAGCTCCAGCTGATCCTGAGCCTAGTTACGGAGCACCGGCGAGCCCTGAGCCTGGCTACGGAGCGCCGGCAAACACTGAGCCGAGACCCGAATCAGCTCCTGTTGCCAGTAAGCCTGGCGGAGGCGCTGCCCCCTCGGCCGAGTACGGCTCCCCGGCGGCCCCCGCCCTGGAGGGCTCGCTCGGCGGCTCGCTCGGCGGCTCGCTCGACTACAGCCTGCCTGTGCTGGCCGGCAGCAGCGGCGGCAAGTGTCGCGCCGACACCAAGTTCATCCTGACCTGGACCAAGGCCGTGCTGCCCGTGACCGTGTACGACTCGCGCAGCGAACACGTGCCCACCACGCTCTACAAGTACATCACGGAGACGGAGCAGTTCCCGGTGACCGTGGTGCGCCTGGAGACGCGGACCGAGACGGCGCGGCCAGAGTACCGCGAGGAGACCAAGATCACCTACAAGACGCTGACCAAGCTGCTGCCCCAGGTGGACGTCGTCACGTCGACGTTGCTGATCCCTGAGGACGAGCACGTGACGGTGACGGAGACGGACCACGTGACGCAGACGATGCTGCAGCGCTACCCGGTGGAGGTGACCTCCACCAGCGTGGTCAGCGTGCCCAAGGTGAGGGGTCAGACTCTGAGGGACAGGGCGCCGGGGAGAAAGGAAGGGAATGTGCACTGATGTGGTAGGCTGTTGCTGATGCGTAATTATCAGTACTTAAATTGTTTGGTGTCCTGGCAAATGGCCTTGAAACGCCAATGAAATCTTAATATGTTACAGATTTTCTTGAGCATCTCTTTACCTCCTGCTTTTGACCTTCTCTCCGGCCCGCCCGGTCGATCCAGAACTGCGTACCAGGACTGCGTTTCTGACCCTCACCCTCTGCGGCTCCGTTCCACAGGTGCAGACGTCCGTGTTCACCGAGCAGCGGACCCAGGTGCAGACGTCGTTCGTGACCAGCGTGTTGGCCATGGTGCAGACGGAGACGGTGAACGTGCCGCAGACGCAGTACATCACCACGGTCAGCACGCGGCTGCAGCAGGTGACGGTGGACGTGACAGTGACGGTGCCGCGCTACCAGACGGTGACGCAGTGCTACCCGCCGCCCCAGCAGCAGCAGCAGTCGTACCAGCCACAGCAGCAGCAGCAGCAGCAGTCGTACCAGCAGCAGCAGCAGTCGTACCAACTGCAGCAGCGGCAGCAGCCGCCGCGCTACCGGCGCAGGCATGGCTGAGGACAGGGGCGTAACTTTTTGGTTTTCGTTGGGGGGGGGGGGCAACGCTGTCAGGGGCGCCTTTTTAAGGGCATGGGGGCGCCTCCCCGTTACTGTCTAGAAATAAGTCTTATTTCAGTTAACGGCAGCATTTTTTTTTACCATAGCACGTTGTTTTTGTGCCGTCGTGTTTTGGCACGTTATGTTGCAGTTTTTTCTGAAATAGCGCCCCAAAAGCGCGGAATTATTTTGTAACCAAATACATTTTGAAAGCACTTTGGGGACCAGAGACCGGGGGCGGGTAGTGGAATTGGGGACCAGGGTAGTGACGCCTTATTAAACAACGCATATGGTAGTTCTTCTAAAGAAACGAGACGAACTGATGAATTGACAAAAAGAAAAGAAAAAACAACTGATAAAAAGGCGAGATTAAAGAAACAAATCTGTAGAACTTCACCCAACGCAGAAGCAAGGGACGTTTTTACGCCTCCCCTTTTAAGTTAAGAACACACTTCATACTGCATCTTTTCCGCACGTGTTCTAGAAGCAAACCAGTGGCAAAAATTTGCCCTCATCGAAAAAAATAAAAAATTGCCCCCCCCCCCCCCGCCCGCGCCGGGCCGGGGGGGGGAGTGAACACCTCCCCTGCGGTTTTTCGCAGATATCTCAAAACTCCGCGCCGCCGTTTTTGGCACACCTGTTCATGCATCTTTTTTTACACATGTGCAAATTTCAGACCCAGAGCTCTCAAGGTCAGGTCACCAGGTCACGTCAAAAGACCTCACCTCAGAAAAAAGTTGCAATCCTCGTCATAGCTACACCGACTGAACGATCGCCTTGAAACTTTCAGCGATTGATAAGAGTAACAGTATGTCTAAAATGTTTATCTCGGAATTTTGATATCAGTGACCTATGGTCAGGTCAATTTTGCGACCTCTCCATTATAAGTCAATGGGAGAAAATTGAAATGAGCCTTTTTTGGACGAATGGTATTTAGAACCCTCTCAAACATCGTTTCATAGGTAAACATGATACACTGAATCGGAAAAAATGCACCTGTGACCCCTCTGTGTGCCCTTGAGGTCATCTCAGGTCATAGACGGTCACCACCAGTTTTTTGGCTGTAACTTTTGATAAAGGCGTGCTAGAGCGATGAAAACACTTCAGATGTATTCAGCTCGACGATACGGATCGACTGATATGCAACATGACCCTTTTCGGTCAGGTTATGACCTTGACCTGAGGTCAAATTTTAAAAATGACCTTTCAAGGTCAAAAAATAGTTCATTCGACGCGTCTCGACGAGAGGAACATGATGCTGCCAAAAGTAATGTCGTGGCACTCTTAAGTCAAAAGTTATTGCCGAAAAACTTGCCCTTTGGAGGCTAAACCGTTGACCTTAGGTCAAATCTGAGAACAATGGTCAGAAAGGTCTGTAAAAGGGCTATCGAATGCGCTTTTCCGCGGCGCTGTAGCTCTATTGGTCCCGAGTTAGCCGTTGCAGTTTCCAAAATTGTTGAAATGGCCTACATTTGACCTTCGATGACCTCAGGCGACCTGACCTTTGACCTGACCCAAAAAATGACCGAAGTGTTTCCGTCATTATTTTTGACGCTCTTTCGAATGATGCTTACTGCGTGTCGCTACGTGGCCCAGGAGCCGAGTTAGACCAGACACCCCCCTCACCGCCCGGCGCGGAAGTCGCGGAGCACCAGCCCGGCGCGGGTTAATCCCAGGCTGAGAGCGTTCAAGCTTAGGTCACCCATATACCTCTGTATACCGAGACATGCAGAAGTCTGTGGCTCACCAGGTGATATCAAGTTATCACGAAATGATAGGTACAAATTACTCCTGCTTTGATCTAGAGGTGGCAAAACGTGAAAATTTTGGGAACCAGACTCGAACCAGACCCGGCTGGACATTTCTGGAACCAGTCGGACCCGGTCTAAGTTGGAATCGGAACCAGTTGGACCCGTTCCCCAAAAGTCAATTACCTAATACAAACCGTTTGTAGAAATCATTAATTGCATCGTGTAAAACAGCCCTTTTCCCACTGATAATACTTATGAACTACAGTGTGCAAAGGAACATACATTAGCAAATGTTTTCTTTCCATTCACTTCATATTTTGCAATCATATGTAGTGTCCACTATGTATGGTTTATGGTAGGACCCGGTTGGACCCGCCAGAAAATTTCCAGGAACCGGTCCGGACCCATATGGGTCCAGATATCAATGTACATACATTGATATCATATGTATGTACATCAATGTGACCAGCTTTGCGCTATAACACAGTGTGCTAAAAGCTATAGGATTATTATTCGAAGTGAGCGGCGGCACAATTTATTTGGTTTCAGAATGTCTGTGGTCATTGCTTCATGTCCAGTCATTAACCACTTCTGGAAAAAGCATTGTAACTTTTGACCCTATAACGGTGCAACTACAGGCTTAGGGTTTGACCAATCAACAATCAATCTGACATAGTTGATTTCTAACACAACACTAACTCTTTGAAAAGGTTTTTGGTAGAAAATTGGTGAAATCATCTCGGACACATTTCAGATAAGTTACAGTTATGGATTAATAGAAATATATAAACTATTTCGGTCAAATGTAACTGTAAGGATGGCTTTTCTCTTTACCAAAGTTAATTGCCCTGACATGGTTGGTATGCTCCTACTTTATTTAATTTATACCTATACCTTCTAACTTATACCTACTTGTTCACGTGATGCCGTAGTAATAACAAATAATCCATTCAGACAGCTAGTAACAGTAAAATGTCATTGCTAATAGTTTTGTAAAGGAAGAAGATTTACCACATTATTTGCTAAGTCCCTCCGTCCGTCCGTTCCGTTCGTCTAGTCGTTCGTTCGTCAACCTGCCTGTCTGTCCGTCCGGTCGTCTGTTTCAATCTGTTCGTCTGTCCGTCCATCCAGTTGTATTTTTTGTCCGTTCGTCTCTCCGTCCGTCTGTCTGTCCGTCCCTCCGTCCGTCCGTCTGTCTGTTCCGTTTTCCGTCAATCTGTCTGTCTTCCCGTCTGCCCGTCAGTCCGTCTGTCTGTCTGTCCGTCTGTTTGTCTGTCTGTCTGTCTGTCCGTCTGTCTGTCTGTCCATCAGTCTGTCTATCTGTGTGTCAATTTGTCCGTCTATCCGCGGGTCTGTCTGGTTCTCACGGGGTCCAGGCTTTGGTCAGAGTTCCGACCGTGGCCGGACCCCCACTGTTCGGTCGGGACTCGGCGCCGAACACTCGCCGGCACCAGGCCATGACCCAGCCGGCGGCGTCAGCCGCAGTCATCACAGACACACCCAGCAGCAGGCTGACGATGCCTCCCATCTCGCTGATCATGCTGACGATCTGGTAGGAGCGCTGCTCTAGGGCCACCTGTTCGGCCAGCTGCCCGGGCCGCAGGAACAGTTTGCTGGCGCCGCGCTGAGCTTTCACCCCGGCCACCTCCGCTCCGATTGTGTACGTGTGACGGCGGCAGCTCGGTGCGCAGTCGCAGCGCCCGCTGTTCCTCCTCACGAGCGGGGCTTTTCGCGATTCCAGCACGGCCAAGGGACAATCCTTCAGGTGCGGAAAATCCTCCAGCATTGGCGGCGTGGAGCAGTTGTGCCTGTTGGCCCACAGTCGGTAGCTGCAGTTCTTCAAGCAGTCGCTGAAGGAGTAGCCGTCGCTCGAGTTGCACGGGGCACGTCGGAGATTAGGCCGCTCGTGGACGTACGACGTGGAGTACAGTTCCATCTTCAGCGGCTCAGATATTTGTATAGTGTAATCTGGCTGCAGCATTTTGCTACCCAGGCTGCTGAGGATCGGCCGAACGCGGTTGTGGAAAGCCACGTCGTAATCAATATGATCTTTTGACTCATTTAATCTGCTGCGTAGAGTGAGTTTCAGCACTGAAGTGCCTGCCTTTCTGGTGTCGGCCAACTGACCCCAGGTGACGTTAGGGCGGAATGTGAAGCACGTTCGTAAAGTGTGTGTCATCCAGACTCGCCAGGTGCCCAGAGGCACGGCCGCCTCCCCGCCCGGGTAGCTGATGTTCTTTCCCGGGGTGCAGTTCGGCTCACACTCGCGCACCACAGTGGTGAGCGGGTCGGCGCGGAGCCAGGCTCGCCGCGCCGGAGCCTCCCCTTCCACCTGGTCCTGTCGGTGGCCGTGCAGCTCTCGGAGGCAGACGGTTATGGCCGGCACATCCACGTCCGTCATCGGCGTGAACGAGAGCGACATCGACACGGGCTCACTGCGGTACAGCATCAGCAGCGTCCGGCACTGCCAGGCGGCCAGCGCCGCGCAGCAGGCGACCAGCAGCCAGCGGGCCCCGCTGGCGCCGCCTCTGCCGTCACCGCCGCACCGGCATCCCATGGTGCCAGGCGCTTCTCGGCGAGGCTCTCACAGGGAGTTCAGTTGAAGACCACCGCCCGCCAGGCTGCTGTCGAGGCAGTGGCTAAGGGCGCCGCTTCCCTCTGCTATTTAGGGAGCGATTCAGTGCTGCCCGTTGCATGGCCACATCACCATCGCATGTATCGACATTGAATAATGTTTCTTACCTGTAGCGTGAAAAGTTCCAGCGCACTAAATGACCCACGATAATTACAGTTTTCATGTCCTTAATATGTAAACTCCGGCACATTGAAGCCCTCGATTATGCTGACAGGAGGAATATAAACTACTGACTATAAGCATTTATCAATGGATGTGGCATCCATTCACTGATAGCAAACCGTGCACTAAAAAAGTTCCAGCGCACTAAATGACCCACGATAGTTACAGTTTTCATGTTTTTAATGTGTAAAGTACACGTAAACGCCCGCGCATAAAGCCCTCGATTATGCTGGCAGAAGGAATATAAACTGGTGGCTATAAACATTTATCAACGGATTTGGCATCCATTCACTGATAGCAAACCGTGCCAATAGTTGCCAATAGTTGCCAGCCTGGCTCCCTAGCACCGAAATGGCAATACCACGAACTAAGAACGGGTAATGATGCCGATGAATCTATCGTGTGCGTTCACTTTCAATCAACGGGATAATAGTCCATCGTTATTGACGCGCATCAATGAGCTCGCGGTGAATGTGGGGTACTTACATCCGTGTAGGCAATGTAGGCTTGTATCTAAAACATCAATCAATGAGAAGTTCATATGTGCAGGGTAAAATGGCATGCTGCAAGATGTTTTCAATGTCGAAGACAGTTAACTCAAATGGAACGTTGTTCGATGGATTATGCGTACAGGGATGTTAAAAAATAAATGCACCTATTATAACCTACGTACTTATTTGTCGTTTGTGCGCTGTCAGTGCCGTGTGTTTAATTAATTACAAAGGAAATAATCATTTAGACAATGTACGAAAGCAGTCTAAATAGTAGTATTGTCGGATGAACAATTAAAACTCGTGACATGTGCGACGCTGAGAGGGTCATCCGGGAATGAATTGGTTATTTTATTTATCTTTCAATGATGATGCGCATTGGGCACCTACGTACAGTACAGTGCATAAGCATAAACATAAAGATAAATAAAGGTAACGTAAAGAATACCTTTACTCGCCGCCTTCAAACGAGTGACAGAATGTAGGCATGATAGATAGAGGTCAGAATTTAACCCGTTAGAGGTGTACTCTCCACATGTTTTTAACCCGGCACCGCCTGGGCTATTTCCGTACCCACGACAGCCTGGGAGGGGGGGTCGGATCCGACCCCCCCCCTGTTATCTCGAGAACCAATGGTCGTATCGAGCCCCGCGAGGCGGCGTTCGAAAGGTCTCTACGAGACCTTCCCAAAGCACTCTTAAGATTTTAAGATTGAGGTCAACCTTCGGGTCAAGGTCAGGTCAAAGGTCAAATTCAGGGGTGTTGCATGAATCGGCTTACGGACAGAGGAATCGATAGCTGCTGCTCGAAACTCACCAAAAATGACCTCAAAGGCCTAGTAAAGGTACCCTGTGCGTATAGGGGTCATACTAAGTACGGGTCAAGGTCGGGTCAGGTCACGAAAGGTCACGGCTTTCACTTTCTGCTACATGGGCGTGCGACACATGTTTTATGGCTTATTTTTCACGCCGAATCCTATGGTAATGGTTATATGTGACCCCAAGTCACTGTGCTGGTGATAAGTGTGCATTGAAAGCATAAAAAAAATCGTTTATACTATACATAACTAAACGAGGGCTAAGAAAAAAGTCAATTTTTCAACTTTTTGTTTTTGACATAAAAATGCACTTTTCTAGACGAGCTTTGTCCCAGGAATCTAGTGGTGCCATTTGTTTTCACATGCGATGTTCAGAAGTGCCTCTAATTCACGAAAATGCTTATGACAAAATGCTTATGCTTATGTCACCATGCCCTATGCATGTTGGAACAATTTTTTACAATTTGGGGGTCAAAAATCAAGATAGAAAGTTGAAATTTGGGGCATTTAATGTTCTAATAGAGTTCTGCAACATATTCCGTTTTTTTGGAAATTCCCAAAATTTTGGATTTTATTAGCTGTTTTCCAAAAAATATAGTTTTTTGAATTTTTAGGGGTGAAAAACGCATATTATGGAAAATCCGAGATGGCCATTTTAACCCGCGCCCCGCTGGGCTATTCAGCCATACGCGCCCTGCTGGGGGGGGGGGGCAGATTCTGCCCCCCCCCCTGTCTAACTTCCGAACCGATGGTCGTAGAAAGACGAGGAAAACGGCAATCGAAAGCTCTCAACAAGGCGGATCTTAAGAGCCCAAATTTTTTTTGCTCAAGTAGGTCAGAGGTCAGGTCAAGGTCAGGTCAAGGGTACAAAATGCAAGTTTCTACAGTATCGGCCTTGCACCGTAGTTGCCGAAGAATGGACTGAGACTGATTGCCCAAAACGTGTTCTTAGACTACCAAGACAATATTCGTTGCACACAATGTCATTCAAAGGTCAAGGTCAAGGTCAGGTCAGGTCAGGTCAGGTCACCAAAAACAAAATATAGAAAAGGGCATGTGCGACACATGTTTTATGGGTCATTTTACTCATGGAATTCAATAGGCACACTCAATAAGTGATATGGACCACCTCTGGATGAATTTCAGGTCGAGGTCAGGTCAAAACAAGGTCAAGTGAGGTCAAATTTTGAAGTTGGTTGTTAAGGCCTAAAAAGGTGTCTATCCGATGCAGTTTTTCACGGCGAATCGAATGGTGCTATTTTTATTTCCGTGCGAGGTCTAGAACTTCCAAAAAAAAATCATTTTTAAAATTTTTTGTGTGTCGTGACGTCATAAAATTTTGAATAACTCCCACATTTTTGAACCGATTCTTCTAAAAATTGGTATGTAGGTGCACATAGACCACTTCTTTGACATATATTCCGGTTTTTTCGATAAACTCAAAACTTTGGATTTTATAAATATTTTCCCAAAAAAGTCAGTTTTTTGGAAAATTTTTGGCCAAAATCCAAAATTTTCAAAAAAACGAGATAGCCATTTGATAGACAAAGTAGAATCACGTATAACCTTTTTTGTTACGTCTTGATTCCTTTAAAAATGAAGAAGTTAGCGGCGTTTGAAATTTTGCCGTTTTTTAGGCGAAAATGGCGAACATGACGTCACTAAAACGTCAATTTCTCAAAAAATTTCCGACGGATTTCGCTCAAATTTTCAGGGAACGTGTCAAATTGATGTATGATAAGGTACTGAAAGTTTGACATCGCTGGCGTAACGCGTTTAGAAGTTATTGGCGAAAAACGGGAGGGGGGGCAGATTCTGCCCCCCCCCCCCAGCGGGGCGCGGGTTAAAGAACTCGTTGAGCTGCGTCTTTTCTTGTCCTCAATTTGCAATTTGCTTCAAACCCTGATTTTTGGCGATTTTTTAAACATTTATCACTATTTGACTAAAAACGCCATGTAGTTACATCACTAAAATCAATATATCTCAATATTTTTTGGTAATTTTTTTCTTAAAAATTGCACAGGAGACGTCAAATTGATGGGGGAGAAGGTATGCCAAGTTTCAAGTAGATAAGCGAAAGTGGTTCATGAGTTATTCAAGAAAAACGGAGGGGTGGTCGGATCCGACCCCCCCCCCCCCCCAGGCGGTCGCGGGTTAATGTTCTTTCTTTGTAACTACATATGCACGCCACGACCTAATGAGTAGGCACTATGCCCTTCAAAGGGCTCAGCAAATCTGGCCATAGCTCTCAGCTCTGTGGTGGCCTGTGAGGTCTGAGACCCTCGGAAACGTTTTCATCTTCCTGAAAAAGAATTAGAGCGTTACGAAATTACAACATTTTAGTTTAGACCTTACAAATGTTCCCGTAATCGGCACCTACGTCATAGGTTTGAGCTGAGGTATGGGTAGGTCAATATCGCCACTAAATCATTAGGTGGACTATTGGACTAAATGTCAGTTGTGTTTCTCTAATGGCCCAAATCATCAAAGCAATAAAAAAAGAAAAAACGCAAGGTTTGGCACCTTCCCAGTTCTCTACCCGTCATTCGATCGGGAGGGACTAAAGCCTACCATAGGTGTATCGTGTATGCATATGTAAAACTCGCATCGTCCTAAAAACTTGCTGAATTTCGTTGCAAAGCTCTACACTCATTTAGATAAGAAATGAAACGGAATGAATTTGACGTAGGGGAGAGTGTGCAGCAAAGTGGCCACCCGGGGCAAAGCGGCCACCCATCGTTTTAGCCCTCCAGAGCTGGCGTCCAGTTCCAGTGTATGGTTGCCAATTATACTTCTCTTCGCGGTCGTTCGAATGAGCCAGACCGGGGTTTCCGGCCCATCGCTATTGTTCTGTGTTACACGGAAAAGCATTTCTTGCCAGGTTATAAGAGAGAGAGAGAGAGAGAGAGAGAGAGAGAGAGAGAGAGAGAGAGAGAGAGAGAGAGAGAGAGAGAGAGAGAGAGAGAGAGAGAGAGAGAGAGAGAGAGAGAGAGAGAGAGAGAGAGAGAGAGAGAGAGAGAGAGAGAGAGAGAGAGAGAGAGAGAGAGAGAGAGAGAGAGAGAGAGAGAGAGAGAGAGAGAGATCCCTTTATTGGCAGACTCTAGGTCCATAAACGAGGCATCCACTCAGCTAGGGCACCAAGGCCCAATAAGCTATCTTAACGATTTTAAATGTGATTTCATTCCATAAACATTTTAAATTGTATTTTGGCACTATCTTTCATGGATTGTGGGGTTATTGTAGATGTCTTTTACCAGTTTTGCTGCTCTCTGCCCCAATAATAGCCGAGCTGGAATATTTTCGTCTCGGACGGTAATCGGTATGCTCGAGGCAAAGTGGACGGGGCAAAGTGGCCAGCTACGAATTGACCATAAGTTGTTTTCATCTGGGCAAATAACGTTATTCATATAGAAATGTATGGTCATTAATCTCCGCCACTTTTCAGTTACATGAGTTGCCAAATAATGCAGTTAAATGGTTTTCCATGAATGTCCTTTTTTGTTTACTTATACGGGTGGGAAGAAGACAAATTAAACATCAATTACCCGTACATAAGGGCAACTATTCTGTTTCTTATAGCCGGATTTTAGAAGTCGCCGTTGTGCTTTGCCCCAGAGTATGGGACAAAGTGGCCAAAATGCATAGGTTTTAAGTTTTGCCAATATTTTCCATATGCGAAAGCCTTTGGAAATGAAACACAGTTGAAACAAAAGACAATTTAACAGGAGTCACATTGGTATAAAAAAAAAATCTTTTCAACTTTAAAAATCAAGCGTTGGCATCGTAAAAGCGTCAGGGTGGCCGTTTTGCCCCACTCTCCCCTACTCATATTGTGTACATGTGGTATGACGGCAGATATATTAGACAAATTAAAATCGTATTTTGATTTTTTCGTAGTTCAGGTATACATATGTCCGAGTCATCGGTTTACTCGTAGATCATAGAGCGGCTATTTAATGCAGTTGCTTCCGTACCAGCAATTACGCAGCAAGTTTTTACTTCCACCCACCAAAGCGAAAGGTACTGGGGTGGGTAAATGCATCGTAATCCACATTGATTCCTATCTGCATAACCGAAACTGACAGCTGATCATCCCGGTGAATGGTGGAATTCAGCCTCGCCCCTGCATGTTCACCGGTCACTTCACCCCAAAGTTGGACAACGCTCGTTAAAAACAGCCGCGAGCTGGTGACGGCACGGGTGCTGCTGCCGTTGACCAATTCGCTCCTGGGACTGACCAGCTCGTCGCGAAACGCTCGGCGAAAGGGCGGCGCGCGCGGCAGTCCGGGAGTAAGTGAGCGGGCTATATAGACGGGCGGCACACGCGATGGGCGGTAGTTGGCGAGCGACCACCTCCAGGGACAACATCGCCAACATGGTGAGTGCACTGGGTGCACGGGGTGACATGAGGTCGAAGAGGTATTATACTTTTTCTTAATAATGCCTTTAATGTACCTATCAAAGTAAATTTTATCAGCAGCACCGCCTAAGTAGTAAGGAACATATCGTCGCCAGTAATCGTGGAAATAATGAGACTAACTAATAATTTCAATCTATGAAATATTGTCGAGATATGCACTACCTAAGCCTGGCACCCGTCAAACTAACGCCCTGTTTCCTGCAGATGCTGAGGAGCACGCTGCTGCTGTGCCTGGCCGTGCTGTCCGGCTCGAAGGAGCTACAGAAGCGGCAGGTGGGCGGGTACGGCGCTCCCCCCGCCGCCGACCCCGGCCCCAAGTGTCGGACGAAGACCGTGTTCGTGCTCACCTGGACCAAGACGATGATCCCTGTGACAGTGTACGACACGCAGACGCGCCAGCTGCCCACCACGCTGTACCGCTACGTGACGGCGACCGAGACGGTGCCGGTGACAGCCATCAAGCTGGTCACCACCAGCCAGGCGGCGCGGCCCGGATACCAGGAGGACACGCGCATCTCGTACCGCACGCGCACTGTCAGGGTGCCCCAGGTGGAGGCCATCACCTCCACGCTGGTGCTCACTGAGGACGAGCACCTGACGGTGACGGAGACGGACCACGTGACGCAGACCCAGCTGCGCCAGTACCCCGTCCAGGTCACCTCCACCAGCGTGGTCAACGTGCCGCAGGTAAGACGGCCGGTGTGCCTCGGGTGGGGCTTTACGGTGGGACGAATATGTAGCATCGCCTGTTACTTCAGCTCATCATTTAGATATTGGGTCAGCTAAATCCCTTGAAGACGTAAAAGTATACGCTCGAAAATTTTATGCATGCACGTTAACAAATGAATATCATTTAACAACCCTGAATTCAAATGGTTAAAATAGCTATAAAATTAAGTACCAAACAGAAATACCTGCTACCTATATTAGTTAACCTGCACATTGCCACTGAAGGCGTTGACCCAGCCTTCCCGACTAGCCCCAGGCGCTGACCTGCCTTCCCTCTGACCCACAGGTGGTGACCTCGGTGGCCACCGAGTTCCAGACCCAGGTCCAGACCCAGTTCACCACTCAGTCCTACAACGTGGTGGCCACCAAGACGGTGAACGTGCCACAGGTGCAGTACATCACCCAGACGGTCACCCAGCAGCAGTACCAGACGGTGGCTGTGACGAAAACGCAGCAGACCTACCACACCGTCAGCAAGTGCCAGCAGCAGGGCTATCAGCAGCCACAGCAGCCGCAGCAGAGCTACCAGCAGCCACAGCCCCAGCAGGGTTACCAGCAGCCACAGCAGCCGCAGCAGAGCTACCAGCAACCTCAGCAGCCGCAGCAGAGCTACCAGCAGCCCCAGCAGGGCTATCAGCAGCAGCAGCCGCAGCAGCAGCAGGGTTATCAGCAGGGCTAACTTGTCCACTCCGCAGTCTCTGACCGCATGCGGACGTAGATCCCGACTCTCTGATGCCACTGCTGGCACGCTGACGTAACCCCACCGTCGTGTCATAGAACTGAATTAGTGGTAGGCTTGGGGTAAAGTCTAGCGGAAAGCTCTTGTGAAATCTAAGTCATTAGGTTAAGGCGCGCGAATTCCCATGCTGTGATACTGTGCGATATTTTTGTTACCAGAGGAGGACCTGAAGTGGTGCCGCTGGTCGGACCAGTCAGCCGCCCGTGACCTCGTGACTTTGGCCGTGACCGTGTCATTTGTGTGGGTGTGGGGTCGCAATATTGCCGCGGGTAGTGTGTTCCAAGATAAGATAGGTATTGATGTGTCGTTTGTGACCTTTATAAGCAGCAACGACTCATGAATAGAAATAAACACGAACAAAGTTATGAATGTCGAAATGTTGACACATTTTCCGTCCTGAATGTTGGTTTACAAGGAAAAATAACACATAACTTAGGTGTTTGTGGGCTGTGCAGTGCAGCCCCGTCTTTAAAACTCGCATGCTGGAGTTGAATCGTAGGAACGCAGAGTGAAAGACACAACGGTGACAGAGACGGTTATAATAGGCACTAGGCAGCTTAATCGTTTCCGTAGCTACATATCAGTCGGTTCGTGACTAATTGTTGATGGGTTTTGTTTCAAGTCATCACGATTCTAACCGTAGGTATAAGGGAAATTGTTGAAGAAAAAATAACTAGACTGAACGTAGGCATACCATAAAAGCTACCCATAACTTTGCATAAAATCGGTGCGGTTGCAATGTTACTAATTGTTAGTACAACTCATACAAGTCATGCGCTAATCGCTTTGAGCAATACGGATATCCCATGCATTTTCCCGTCCAGTAGAGCATTTGCCACACCTTTCGCACCGATTTCGCAATAACGCGGAAGATTTTCACCGCGCATTGCTCAGGTGTTCGTCCTAGACAGCAGTGAGTTTCGACACTGTGCGAGCTTCCGTACAATTAAACGGCAGAAATATCCCACCGCCCGCACAGGCTCACTCGCAGTGTATCCCTCCCGCAGTGCTCGGTCACTCTTCACACGATAAGACACATGACTGCCGGCGGGCTTTTCTGCAGCGTACAGACGGTTGCTGTAACCGGATGCAGCTATCAGCCTCTGTGTTTGCGCCAGTGAAGGACCCACTCGGAACGGTCCGCTCGTTGGTCCGACCGGAAGCTGCGGCCGCGGGTCGTGACCGGTCGCGTCAGAGTGCGCTCTGTGACCGCGGAGCTGTCGGTTCGAGCCTGCTGATAATTGTGTGATCCGAGCACAGCGCGAAAGGACCCGCGGCGTATGGGGTGGCGGCCGGTGGCGAAACGGCCGCGCCTGATTGATGGACACTTACCTTTTACGTGCATGACGTGGGCTTGAGTTAATTGCCGTTACGGAATCATGCTCATTTGAATACATGTTGATGTAGGTGACTACCCAATGCTCCACACAGACAATGGACAGGGGAATATATGTACATATCTACAACGTGTCGCCGCCACTGGCGGATCCAGGGGGGGGGGGGGGCACGGGGGCCATGCCCCCCCCCCCCCAAAGGCCTAAAGTGGCCTGTTTGGCCCCCCCCCCCCAAAACGTCAGAAAAATTTCTAAGAAAATATACCTTGATGGAGGTTTTTAGCCACTTGGTGAAGTAAAGTTTCCACAGCATAATATGGAAGCAATATGGTAGCAGTGAGGGTCAGTCAAAAGTTGCGCGAGCGGAGTCGACCTTCAAAAAAAGACTGTTGTTGGCACGTGTTTATGGCGCGGCAGCTGGTAGTTGGCGGTGTTTCGCGTGGTGTGGCATCACTGGCGGATCCGGGGGGGGGGGGGTAGCACGGGAGCCTGAGGTGCCCCTGACAGGCCCGTGGTGCCCTTGCTAGGCCTGTGGTGCCCCTGGACCCTGGCAGGCCTGTGGTGCCTCTGGCGGGCCTAGGGTGCCCCTGCTAGGCTGCTGATGCCCCTGGGACCTGACAGGACTGTGGTGCCCCTGACAAGCCTTAAGTGCCCCCAACAGGCCCGTGATGCCCCCGACAGGCCCAAGGTGCCCCTGCGACCTGCGTGATGCCGTGATGCCTGCGAGGCCGGTGGTGCCCCTGCGAGGCCGGTGGTGCCACTGCGAGGCCGGTGGGGCCCCTGACAAGCCCATGGTGCCCCTGCGAGGCCGGTGGTGCCCCTGCTAGACCGGTGGTACCCCTGGCAGGCCTGTGGTGCCCCTGCTAGGCCGCTGGTGCCCCTGGGCCCTGACAGGACTGTGATGCTCCTGACAGGCCCAAGGTGCCCCTGTAAGGCCGGTGGTGCCCCTGTAAGGCCTGTGGTATCCCTACTAGGTCTCTGGTGCCCCTTTGACAGGCCCATGGTGCCCCTGCGAGGCCGGCGGCGCCCCTGGCAGGTCTCTGGTGTCCCTGACAGACCTGGGGTGCCCCTGACAAGCCTGTGGGGCCCCTCACAGGCCCGTGGTGCCCTTGCTACTTGCTAGGCCTGTGGTGCCCCTGGCGGGCTGGTGGTGCCCCTGCTAGGCCGGTGGTGCCCCTGACACGCCTGTGGTGCCCCCGGGCACCAAGGGGGGTCATGACCCATGTGGCCCCCCTTGGATCTGCCACTGATACATAATATATTGATTTGTAAAGGCGTTATGGCTTATGCAATATGCAATTGCAGGCACTTGGTATGCCTCACTTATCCCTTATTGGGGGCTCTGGCGGGCTCCTGAGGGCCCACGTCTATCTCCGGGAGCCCTTGACAGGCTCCTTTGGGTCCTTTCAGTCCACTATAGCATAAGAGGTCTCCATGCGAGTCCTATACATCTGAGGGCGTACCCTGACGTCTGAGGTACCCAACTGCAGCTCTAATGGTCTCTTACACTGGCGGATCCAGGGAGGGGGCATTTAGGGCCATGCCACCTTCCCAGAGGTCTAAAGTGGCCCGTTTGCCCCCTCCCCCAAACGATAATGAAACATAAGGGTTGACTATTAAGTAATGGAAGTGCCTTCAGCAATTTAGCGTTATTGCACGTGCACATATTTTTTTGGTGTCATTTCATGCCCTGATGTTTTTTCTATCCAATGGTGAAGACCAGATGTCCTTTGTTACTTCTCGCTCCAAGCTATCGTCGTTTTCCCAAGAGACCACCCGAACCTGCGGCGCACCATGAAAAAGGAGTCTGGCAATGGCCAAAATCGCGCGCCAAGCGCCAGCGCGAGGTCATCAGAGCTTATTGGCTTATTGTTATGGCTACACAATGGACAATTGCTATATTTTCATCAAAAAGATACACATAGGCACGATAAATGACAGCAAACACTACTCCACATATTCGCCTTCAAGCATCACACACCGTTCCAGCCTCGGCTTGACCCACTCCTGGAACGGCGCCGCCAGAAGACAGATTGGCGCTTTCTTTCTCAAACCGATGAAACCACCGGCATACCGTCTGTGGGGAGGCTGCGTCGCTCCATACACTTAAAAAATAAATTTTCTGAATTCTGATCTTGGTAGACCTTTTCCCTACGACAAACTGAGCTCTAATGACCTTGCACTCTGCGCTGGCGCGCGGTTTTGGCCATTGCTTGCCAGGTGGTGCGCCACAGGTTCGGGTGGTCTCTTGGGAAAACGACGATAGCTTATAGCAAAAAGTAGCTAAGGACATGTGGTTTTCACCATTGGATAGAAAAAAACATCGGCGCATGAAATGACACCCAAAAAATGTGTGCACGTGCAAAAACGTTTAATTGCTTAAGGCACTTCCATTACTTAATAGTCAACCCTAGTAGTTCAATCAGTGCGTGGCCTAGGAGCCGAGTTAGACAGGGGGTGTTTTACCACCTCCCGGCCCGCAAAGTGACCCAAGCACTGACTCGAAGCGGGTTAACTGGTCGACAAAAGCAATGGTAAGTGCTTACAAAGTAATATAAAGGCATGGGTCGGGTGGGCTACCATTTATATATTTTTCTTTCTAGTTAAAAAAAAAATCATAGTGTCGGGGCTGTGACGAAAAATAAGTGGCCTAAATCCGATGAGAAAACAGGATTTGGGGGTACCCTAGGTTTGGCTCCAGCATGAGTTGGCCCCCCCCAAAACGCAAGCCTGGATCCGCCAGTGGTCGCCGCGGGGATGTTATTGCGGGCAATTCAAATAGCTACGCGGGAACGCCTTACGCCACCACGCATAAGCGTAAAACACTTGCCAAGGCGTGGTCTGTAGGTCGATGCATTTATGCATGCATCATTTGACCATAGCCTACAGCGAGCATATATGGACGCAACAAAAATGAACGGGCAAGGATTAATTTGTTTGGTTTGTTGGGCTGGCCCGGCGGCTTAATGACCGTTTTAGCGGCATAGGATGAGAGGAAAAGAGAAGATATTGGGCGGAAGCTCTGCGATCTAAGACTTCGATCTGCGACCACCGACTGTGCACCCCAGCGACTGATCACATTCCATTCCGATGGAAATTAGTGCTCCGGTGAGACAGGGCACCCTGCACCTGGCACTCTGGCACTCAAACGACCTCTCAGAGCACAGCCCTACCTATTCGAGCCCTACCTTTGCAGTCATCAGGATCGAGACGAAAATAGCACCAGAGGCATAGTAGGTAAACGCTAAACAAAGTCATCGGCACTTTTGAATATGGTAATCTCAGGTGGACTTCCTGACCTTCAGAGGTCAATCAGACGTGTTGGCTCAGTGCAACTGCATCCTATATATAATTCAGCAACTGGGCCGATCAAAACGAAAACGCCACCATTCGATTTGCCGAATGTGATTTCATCAGCCGTTTCATTAATGATGACCTCAGGTGACCTCGGTGTCCTTAAGCGGTCGCTTTACCGTATGCCATTTCATCGGCTAATCTCCAGGTGACGTTGACGTCTCAATCGGCCCAGTAGTTGTTGAGTTATATAATGACTGCTGAAAGCCAACACGTCAGCTTGAGGTGTGGAGGTCACGAAGGTCAATTGAGGTCACAACAAACGCAATATTTTAACACGCGCAGTGGAAGGGGGGGGGGGGCGGATTTCGCCCACCCCTCCTGTTTTTCGCCAATAACTCGCGCCGCAAACATGATATTAATGTGAAATTTTGGCTACCTGTCCAGAATTGAACTGCAGATCTTCTGGTGCAAGAAATAAAAAAATCGGGCCACAACTTTTCTAGTAATAGCGGTGTAAAGTCAAACATCCTACCGCCGCGGCGGCGCGGCGGCGCGGCTGCCGGCGCTAGCCGTTACGCGCCGCCTGAATTGTAGACTGTGCCGGGGCGGGACGGTTCCGTCTTTACATCGCGCTCCTTACCGCTGATTATATTCGATTCACGTCAAATTTTGTGAGAAGACTAAGAAATGTACAGGCAATCTTATGGTCAAAGAATTTTGAAAATCGGCCGGTAACAA